TTGTTGTGACTGCTACTTTCCCCTCTCTGAGCTCTCTCTCGCTTTCCTCTGCTATAAATCGGCTCGGCTCACGAGCGACTCGGGCATTCATTTGTTATTTATTTAGGGGTTAACGAGTAACTACTAGAGCCAAGCGCTGATTATTCGCTATTTTATTATAAGATTTTAATTTGATTTAAATAATGAAAACTTGAGTGAATTTTATAATTTTGAATTATAGTATATGTTGTTGTGTGTCTAAAGTTTTGTTATGATAAAGGAATAATTTAATGTTTTAATATTGTAAAAGAAAATTATCAAGATGATACATCAAAATCTTTTTACGTGAAAAATTTTAAAAAAGGAAAAAATCAAAGGGTCTGACACACAATAGGTAAAATAATATAATCATCCACCAAGTACATCACTTGTTCGAGCACCATGTATTAAAAATTTTAGGTGTTTAGAAAAAGTCGTCATACTTTGAGTACAGTGCTTGTGAGTTGTTATTGTCGGAAATTATTGATGGATTGTAATACGGTGTTACATGTTACATCACATTTGGGATACTTCATTACGATGTATTTTAAATATTTTGTTACACAATATTAAGAGATACATCGTTGCACTACGGAGTTCATCCATGATTGCGAGCAGGGGTTGGTCGATGACTCCTGATGGGTGGTGATCTCTGATGGGTGGTGATTAATGATGATCAGTGGGTACGGAGGTCGGAAGTTATCTTTGTGTTTTCATTTCATAACAATACTAAAATTTGACTCATTTTCGACCTCCTCGAGTGAAGATAAGGGTTTATTTGTCGCCTTTAATGTATAAACATTTTAGTTCTTTTGTGAATAACTCTCGTAAACATCATATCAGACAATCTATATTGACCCCTTAATCATAGATGATTTCTTAATGTTTAGAGGACTTAATGACCTCAAAACCAAATGAGCTTTGACTCATGAGATCTCTCATCTAAACGCTCGATTTGATTAAATTATGTCAAATTTGGAGTTCATTTGACTATTCAGTTAATGATTTGAAGATTCTAAATGTTCTTTAATGTCTTGATTCATGCTTGATTGAACTCAGATTGAACAAATTTGGTATTATTGGATTCGTCTTATTGAGATGGTCAGTTTGAGTATAAATTTGCTGAAATCAGGGTGTGGGATGATTTTTAATTTGATTTTGAAATATTTTTTATTTAAAAAAATTATCTCAAAATTTATGTCAACTGATAAAATTTCGTGATGGCACATCATATGTAATTTCAAAATAAGAGTAATTATGATATGATGTGATATTAAGATAAATGCTGAATATTAAGGATGTGATACAATTGCATGACTTTGAGGGACAATGGGTGATGTTCAATGTGATAAAATAATATTTTCATAAATTTTTAAATATTGAAATGCTATGTGGAGTCTTCATTTCATGTATTTTTATGCTCAACATTATGATATTATGAATATCATAAAAATCATATTTTTTTATTTCTTTTTAGAAAGATTGTTAGCTCTACCATTATTTCAATACTTTTGTTTTTCTTTTTAGTTCTTAAAATAATTCATAAACTTTAACAAAGATTAATGCTAATGCTTTATTAAATATGTACTTTGAAGGCCTCAAATTATTGAAATGTCTCATCGTTAATTACTTCAACAAGTAGTTTGTATAGATGTCTGATAGAGAAAATCATTACTTGTGGCATACCACACGTCAAGATGACAAAGCGGATGCTGCCACACTATTGTTTTTTTTTGGATGCGGCCACACTATTGTGAATCACATCACAACCCATTCAAACAGTCGTCTGGACGTGCAGTAGTCGTACATAATAATTTCTCAAATGATAGAGATAACTTTTACATTTTGATGAATTTTGAGTATTATATTTTCTTATAAAAATATATTACATATATTAATATTGATGTGTGCTACAAATTTCATGACAGTAGAGTAATAGTTACTGTCTTAACGTGATACGAAGATTCAGTACATACTTAGAAAAGAAAACAACCAGCAGTGATATCATAAGCTTTTACTTGAAAAACCCGTAAAGGGAAAAACCACGAGGTCTGTCCTAGTTATAAAAATTCACTGTAAGTTGATGATTACAGAGACCCGTTGCCCCAAATGTGAGAAAGAGTTCCAAAGCCCTGTAAATTACAACGACAATTTTGAATGAAATTGTTGCAAGGAGTGAGAGGTGACTGATAGCAATCGGTGACGGCTGACAAGTGGCGGTCAATGGTGTTCGGCGGTGGTCGACTGCGGTCGACGGTGGCCAATAGGAGTCGATAGTGTTTAACGACGGTTGATTGTGGTTGGCGGGGGGGGGGAAGACAGTCAGCGGTATTTGACGGCAGTCGATTGCGGTCGGTGGTGGTCGACGGCGGTCAACGTGATCGACGACAACATAAGTGATGTTGGACTTTGCTCATTCTGAAAGCTTAAAGCTGTTTCACAAGCCTCAAACTTCCTCCTCTCTCATGAGAGAGATGATACTCTATTTATAGAGTTCTGAGTGCAATTAATGCAGAAATATGATCCACTCGATCGGAAGGCTTATAGGGCTTTCCTCATTCAGACGATGTTTGTTGGACATTGCAGTGCCTTAATGAAATCAGAATTAAACGAACTTGGGCTCATTGGATTTATCTTGTCGAGACGCTTGATTTGACTATGAACTCGCCAGATTTGACAGCATTTTGATCTTTCAAATATTCTCTAAAGACTTCCAAATGTGGTTTAATGAATTGATCTGAGCTTGATTTGATTCAGATTAGACTAATTTTTGTATCAATGAGTCTGCTTCGTTGAGTCAGTCAGTATGAGTCTATGACTGTAAGTTTGCTGAAATCCGAGTTATAGTTGAATATTTTTTTATCAAACTGAATGTTTCTTACTTAAAATATTATCTTGATATTTGCGTCATGTCTTGCGATTCGTGTTTGATGAAAGAATTTATTGATGGCGTATAAAAAAAATCATATTATGAAAATCTATTTTACAAATAATTATTTTATTATCAACTCTTTAATATGCAAGAAATGAAACTTATTTTTATACATTTAGTTATTACTATTATGATATACTTGATATATAATAAAAGTAAAAAAAAATTAAAGAGGCGTTTAGTCACATACCACACAGTTCTTATTTATTTACACATCTAGCATCTAAACTTTCATATTTACATGCATATCACTGAAATCTTTGCTTGATAAAATATTATAAATTTTTTTAAAGGTTAAATACACCTTCTCATGTTTAACACGATGTTATAAAACTAAATATCAAAATTTTGATGTTGGACATGTAAATACATAATTATCTGATAGGCATGTAACATAACTATATGATATGTATGCTTGTAAATAAATGCCAATCATACCAAATTTTAAATAAAATATTTTTCCTACATAAATTTAAAATTTACATTTCAATCGTCTAAAAATCGAGCGCATTTTCTGTCTGGACACCTGACGTACCTCTATGTGCGGTGTAGGTTATTTTTGTGTTATTTTCAGGTTATTTTTGGGTTATTTTCCATAATCTCGAAATAATCTAGAAATAACCCAAAAATATTGGGTTATTTCTGGGTTATTTCGGGATTATCGAAAATAACCCAGAAATAACCTGAAAATAATTCAGAAATACATTGCACCGCACGTAGAGCTACGTCAGGAGTCCGCATAGAAAAATTTTTGCTAAAAATCACCCAAAATTTTAAATATAACTGAATAAGATTTAAGATTTAGGGTTTAAATATAATTAGAAACAAACTTTTGGGTGGATAAAAATGTAAAATTTTAAATTTAAGTCAACCAAAAAATTAGATTTTAGATTTTAGGGGGGATTATTATGCAAAAACCCCTAATTACATAAAACAAAACAAAATAAAAGAAAAGCTCCAAATCCACTCTCACCACAAACCCCAATGAAAACCCTTATCCCCGCCATCCCTTCTGCCCCACAACCTCTTCTCCCCTCTTCGCAGCCACCGCCGCCGTCCCCCTTATCGCCGATCATCTCCCGCCGCCTAGCCCTCAACCTCACCCTCTCACTTTCTTTTCCCTCCCTCCCCTTCCCTCCCCTCTCCTCCGCTCTCCTTTCCCCATGCCCTTCCTCCGCCACCATAACCTCCGAATCCTTCCTCGACATCTCCATCGCCGGCACTCCCGCAGGTCGCATCACCATCGGCCTCTTCGCCGACGCCTTTCCCGCTGCCGCGGCCCGATTCGCCGCTCTCGCGTCCGGCTCCCGTGGCCTCAGCTTCCGCCGGAAAGAGTTCGTCAAGATTACCCCCACTTTCATTCAACTCGCCGGCGTCCAATCCTTCGGCATCGATGCAGATCTTGTCGCCGAGTGGGCGGCGGAGGCGGATCGGTGCGCGGGGTTGAGGAGCACGGCGGGAACGGTGGGGATTGTGGTGAGGAATCCGGCGATATCTGCTCCGGCTATGCGAATCGTGGCGAGGAATGGGAGGATTGAGGTGGTGGAGGAGGAGGAGGGGGAGGTGGGGACTAACGGGACTGAGATTATGATCGCGACGAGGGAGTCGCCGGAGATGGATGAGAGGGCGGTTACCGTCGGGAGGGTGGTTGAGGGGATGGAGGTGGTGGAAAAGATCGCCGGCGTTAGCAAGGTTAGAGATAACGCCGGATCGCCCTACTTCAGGTTTTTGAAACTCCTTTGTGTTTTTCTATATCGTTTAAAAAAAGATATTTTTTGCATATCAACCCTCCAAAACATTCAATATAATATTTCAAACACTCAAACTTTAAGGGTCCGTTTAGGACAGCTTGTAATGAGGCCCGCAGGCCGGCCGCAGGAGTTGACCTGCGACATGCTTTTAGTGTAAAAACTCAAACCCAGTTTCAAATAGACTAACAAAACGCGCGAACTAAATGACACACTTTGAAGGTTTATTTGGGAGGTTTTTTTAATTAATTAATTGTTTAAGTGATGAGAACAGGATGGCGAAGCTGATCGGAGATAAGAGGGCGGTGGTGGCAGAGAGAGGGTTCAATCGTCCGTTTGTGAAGGTGGTGGTGACCGACTCGGGCTTACTCAAGGATTAATTAGTTTTTTTTTTCTATTTTTTTTCTTTATTCAAAAGAATTTTCTTTTCACGTCATTATATATGTATACTTGGGAAAGTTGACTCAAATTGAATGTAGGGGACTATACCCCTAACCACTATCCCACGTTTAAATAAGTCTTTATAAAATTACATTCAATACAGTACAACACCTTTTTGCAGTGTATTAGTGAAAAGATTACCATATGGAAGTACAGTACAACACCTATAAAATTACATTCAGTACAGTACAACACCTATTTGCAGTGTATTAGTGAAAAGATTACCATATGGAAGTCAGACGATGTCATAAATAAGGATTGACGTATGCACCCTCATTTAATGATTTTTTTTTTATTTGACTTGTTCACCCCGAGCTAGTGTGACCACTTTGATGGGTGGGCTCAACACAACCATTTAGACATGTGGGTTTAGCTCGACCACTTTGAAAGGTGGCTTAAGCTGTACCACTTTTAGTATATGGGTTTGACTCGGCCACTTCGGCAAGTGGGCTGAGCTCGACCACTTCAGCATATGAGCTTAGCTCGACCAATTCGGCAGGTGAGCCTACCCTAAGAATGACACTAGCTTTAGGTGTGAGTTATATAAATTCATAATTTCCCTATTTATAATTCTAACCTTCACTTCAATTTTTTTACATACATACCATCTTGCCTATGGTTGTCATTTAAATTGGTAGTTTTTTTTTTATTTTTTTTTTTATGTGAGCTCAAATTAAATTGTAAAATTTAGGTAATAATACGTAAATACATAAAAATTAAGTGGTATGTAATTTTTTATGTGAGCTCAAATTAAAATGTAAAATTTAGGTGATAATACGTAAATACATAAAAATTAAGTGGTATGTATGTAAATTTCTAACCTTCACTTCAATTAAACGACGCCTTTCCCTCCGACCCGGCCCGTTATTCAACCCGATAACTAATTTCTTTAACGCCGTTAGCCGCCGCCTCCCGCCCGCCAAGCAGAGCTTGTCCGGCAGGCATCCTTTAACGGAATATTCCGTAAATAATTTATTCTTCCCTAAATACTTTTTTCTTTTTGTCCAAATTACATTTCCGACAAGTGTTGGTGGCCACGCCTTAAAAGCGTCGTTTCGGATAATTACAGTCCGATGCAAATCTGGATTTGTTGTGTAAATGTGAAAAGACGATAATACCATTCGAATTAAATTATTATTTTATTTAATAAATTTTATTTTTTAATGCGTATGTAGTTATTGATTGAAATTATTGATGGATATTTTTTCATTCTATCGTAAGATATTATTTCTTTTTTTAGTTGAAATTTGAGGTAATGCAGGTGGAATATGAGAAATTGGATCTCAACAGAGGATAATGTGCGGCGATTGATGGCGAAATATAACAATTTTGATTGTCACAACTTCCACAACCCTCTGCCTTCGGCTAACCCTGGTCAACTCCTTCGAGCAAATCTGGTCATCACCCTGGCCAGATCCGAAAGCCGCCTCCGTCCATCATCGACCGTCACCTACATCTTGGGGTGAAACACCATGCGAAGCGTCCATTGACACCGCATAATCACATAGCAACATACAAAACAATGCATAATCCTCAATGTCGTGTTAACTCCAAAGAGAGTGCATTAGAGCTCTGAGAGTCATTTATTGCTATGATCCCTCTCTACAAGTATAATACAAGACGACGAGTTCTTCCGCGCATCGACGTTGTAACTCGAGAAATTGTATCTCTTTTCTGCCTATGAGATGAAAATGAACTTTACATATATTTACTTAAGCGTGATCTCTTTTCTGCCTATGAGATCACGCTTAATATTTTTTATATGAAAATTTTTAATATTTTTTTAATTATTTTCTTTCATTTGAATGCGTGTTATTTTCACTTTCAATATTAAGATATGTTATTTTTAAATATATTAGAAAAAAAAAAACAAAATACCATTTCACATGTAAAACAAGAGGAGGCACACGTTAACTTCCCATGGTCCTCGGAGCACCACAACTCAAAAATTCACCGAAAAGGGGGCAATTTCGTCTTCTGCATAAATGATAACTCCCGCTATCTCTGGTTTGTTACTCGATCCGACCGACAAAAATAAAAATAAAAAAAAATCTCAGAAAAAGATACGAAATTTATTCAGAAGGAAGCCGTGTTCGATTTCTCCGCACCTCAAAACCGCTCCTTTCAATCGATTCCTTCATATCTGCTCCTCTCAATCGGTTCAGGTAATCTTCAGCTTTCCGATCCGCGGAATTTCGAAGGTTTTCGCGTTTCTTCTGCCCCAAATTCCTTCACTTTGAGTACCCGTTAGGGTTTCTATGAAGGAGGAGGGTTTGTGATGTTTACACCGCAGAGGAAGGGCTGGGCCGGGCCGGGCTTGCAGGAGAACGGCTCGGCGTTGCGGACGAACCCTAGGGGTTCGTTAGGGTTGGTTCTTGGTAGGGGAAAGGGTGTGGTTGGTGCGGCGGAGGATACTCCAGTGCCGCCGCCTAAGGGGTTATTGGGGGAGAAAGATGGAGAACGGAAAGGTATGGGTGTTGATGGCAGTGGTTCTGAGGACTGGAAGAGGTTTAGGGAGTCCGGGCTTTTGGATGAGAAGGTGCAGCTGAGGAAGGACAAAGAAGTGCTCGCAGAGAGGGTTTCTGCACTGGAGATTGAGGTGAGTGATCAAAGTTGTTGTTTTGTTGTTTATGTTGTTCTTTTTAGATTTAGACTGGGAGTGTATCTGCTACTGTAAAGCTGGGAATTTTGATTTGCTCTTGTTCTGTAGTTAGAATGTAGGATTGTAAAACCCTTTGGTGAATATATCAACAAGTTGATTGTCTATTAGAATATGAGGAGTACCGATCAAATCAATCTATCTTTTTTTTTTATTTTTTCTTATGAAGTGTTTATTTTCCCTCATGTGTTTGGTTTGATCATGTTATACTAATTGTTTTCGCCATGATATATCCTCATAGATCATTTATGTTCAATCATTAGTTCTTTTTAGCAGCAAAAGTTTACTAAGTTCTTTGATTGTTTCTCTAAATTTAGATTCCACACTTTTTTTCTACATCACTTCTTCTTAGTTCATGTAATACATTTTCATATGAGCAATTGCAATAACTTGAAGTTGATTATTATGCCCTTGTGGTTTCGGAGTTCTATGTGTTTTTTTTTTAAATAGAGAATCCCCTTCTCCGTGTTTGATTTGAAATACCCGAGAACTCGATAAGTAGCTTGAAGGTTCATATGTTTGATTTATGCATGAACTGACTTATGAGGTTCACTGCAAATGCAATAGCATGAAAAACATGAGATGGGTTGATTAGTTTTTCAACAAATCATTGATATTGTCATTTGTAATAAAGTCATATTTATTTCTTTTAATATATTCATAACATATTTTTGTTTTGAGATAAATATCATTTTGTTTAACTCATTTACTTGTATGTTCAAGAAGTATTTAAGCTTGCTGAGTTCTTTGATTTCAGATTTTGGATTGAGCCATCACTTTTAATAATTATATCATCACCGACATAATGAGAATAGCCGCTTTCCTTTCAGTCGTGTGTTTTATAAAGAGTGCATTGTTTCTACCGGCATAGTTTTAGTTTGCATTTCTAGATTTGTGATGCAGAGCTGTTGAATATTGGTAAAGGATCTATTGAGACTTTCCATATCTCTATCCAGAAATATAATTGTTTACATTATATTATTGCACAGTACAAGCTAGCAGATAAAGATATTAGGATGCAAATCATATTCTTTCTTGCAATTAGAGTAAATGTTTGTTTGTGATAGAATTGGGTATATTTTTGTGCTGCTAGAATGGCTTTATATTTCAATGTACAAACACATTTACATCTTATAGCCTTTTTACCTTTGGTAAATCATTCATCTTCAAAGTTTTTTTTTTTTTTGGTTGGTGGCATTCAAATCTTCTCCCATGGCCTTTTTCCAATTCTCACTTCTTAATGCTGCAAATAGCATCTGTGGAACTTTTATTTGCTGCAATAATGAGAAAATGACTTTTGGGAAGGATGTGTTTTCGATCTTTATTGTGAGCACAAATTTTCATGCATAATTGTGAAGTAGCTGGTGAGTTTTTGAAGTTGTGCTCTGTATTTTTCAACCTTCAAGTTTTACCTTTTCAACTTTGGTATCTTTAATGCTAATTTTGCTTATTATTTCCACAATGATATGTTCTCATTTGATGCCTTGGCATTTTTACAAAATTTTCCCTTGTTATATATGCACATTGTTTTTTGTAATTTTAGTTATTTATTCAATTTTTGTGCAGCGCGATGAATGCTTATACAACATGGGCCTGCTTCTTATCGAAAAGAACGAGTGGTCTTCACAAATGGAAGAACTGAGACAAGCATCAGCAGAAGCACATGAAACTTTGAAGAGAGAACAGACAGCACACATCATTGCCTTGTCTGAGTTGGAGAAACGTGAAGAAAATTTGAAAAAAGCTCTGGAGGTCGAGAAGCAATGTGTGATAGATGTATGGAAGAATTTCTTGTTAAATTCAAGCTGTTAAGATGTATAATGATTCTTTTTTTTTTTTTTTTTTGTTTTTTCTTGGGGATTAATCTCTTTTTGTGATCTGTGCAGCTAGAAAAAGCATTGCGTGAGATTCGAGCTGAAATTTCCGAGGCTAAGTTTACATCCGAGAATAAATTAGCTGAGGCGCGTGCGCTCGAGGCCAACCTAGAAGAGAAACAATTACAGATTGATTCGAAATGGCATGCTGCGGATGCGAGGCTTGCGGAAGCAAATCGGAAGAATTCCGAAATTGATCGAAAATTAGAGGATCTTGAGGATCAAGAACACAAAGTGCAACGAGAACTTTCTTCTTTACATGCTGAGTATGCATTTTACTTTGTCACTTCTTGTGCAAACTCTTTTTGAAGTAATTTTATGGCATGCATTTCGTAAATATCAATTTATAAATGCATGTAGGCGGAAAGTGCTCGAAAATGATTACTCTAAACAACGCGAGCATTTACTGGAATGGGAGAAGGAGCTGCAGGAAAAACAAAGAAGGCTTCTTGAGGAACAAAGACTTATTAATGAGAGGGAGGAGAGGGCAAATGATCTGGATATGATTCTGAAGAAGAAGGAAGTAGAGGTTGAAGATGCAAAAAAAAAGATTGATGTCATTGACAGTGCTCTTAAAACTCAAGAGGATGATTATAAAGTAAGATTAAGTGCTCTGACTGTTAGAGAGAAGGTTAGATTTTGTAAAAATCATATTTTGCAGGAATTATTTGTTTTATAGTATGTCATGCATGCTGATGGATATGTTCTTCCACCATTTTTTGATGCAGGATGTCGAGATTAAGAGTTTAAATATGGAGAAGAAAGGAAAGGATCTATTGGAAATAGAAGAAAAACTCAATGCCAGAGAAAGAGTAAGCCCTTTCCCTTGAAGCAGAAGATTTGGGTTGAATGCATACATGCTTAGCTTGATTACTTTTTAGGGACATTTACATACATCCACAATTTTTATGTTTTACATATCTAACAATTAACATTCATACTTACATACATTCCACTCAAATCTTTGAACTTCACTTCAAAATCATCACCGTTACCATTTTTTTAAAGTGACAGACAGCTTTTCATGCATAGATTTATGACAACAAGATGTTGTAAGTGTAAATGTCGAACTTTGAGTGCTAATTATGTAAAAATATAAGAATTGTGTGTTACTCATGTAAATTTGTCTTTTTGATTTTGTTGCTTTCGCTTACTTTTGGTTCTTCATAACATAACTTTAGAACTCTTTGATTTCTTTACTTCCAATCTAATTTTCTATCTAATGAACAGGACGAGATTCAAAAGCTTTTGGATGAGCACAATGCAGTCTTAGACGCCAAGAAACAAGACTTCGAGTTAGAGATGGCTAAGAAAAGAAGATCTTTTAATGAAGAGGTAGAAAACTATATGGATATATTGGGCAAAGATGGAAATATAATCAAATCCAAAGAGGAACAGCTCCTCCAAAAAGAAGAGGCCTTGGAGATCAAAGCCGGCGAAATTAAAAGCAAAGAAGAGGATCTAAATGCAAAATCTAAAGCTTTGAAGAAGCGGGAGGACTCCCTGAAAACCAATGAGAAACTTTTGCAAGAACAAAGGAAGAAGCTACTCGAGGATTCCAATGAGATAGAAACATGTAGAGCTAAACTTCATAACGAGAAGTTAGCTATTGAAGCCGAGGTCCAAAAAGTCATCTTTCAGAACGAAAATCTCAAACTAACTCAGGAAGAACGGGAACATCATCTCAAGCTCCAAACCGAGTTGATGTTCGAAAAGGATCAGTATCAGATGATGATGGAATCACTCGAAAAGCAAAAGGAGGCGTTGAGAGAGGAAAGGGAGAAGTTTGAGAGAGAGTGGGAGGCACTAGACGAGAAAAGGGTGGCATTAGAAGCAGGCTCGAAACAACTACGGGCTGAGAGAGAGAAGTTTGAGAAATGGAGACATGACGAAGAGGAGAGACTGAAACACAAAAACTTGGAGGCCCTAGCTGCTGTGCAGCGGGAGCTCGAAGATCTGAGATTGCAGAAAGAAACATTCGAGAAGTTGATGGCGCAGGAGCGTTCTGGTGCCCGTGCTAATATCGACAGCGAAAGGGCTGATATGTTTCGTGAGTTTGAACTGTTTAAGCATCGGCTTGAGATGAGCGAGCAGAGGAAGCAGGATGATACGGAGAAGAAGTTTCAAGAGAAGAAGAATGAGTTTGAGATGTGGAGGGAAACGGAACTGAGTCGACTCAACTCTTCAAACGAGTCGAATGATTTAGAACGGAGGAGGTTGGAGATGCAACAAAATCAATTAATGAGGGAAAAAGAGGAGTTTTCAGAGCAAAGACGAAAATTAGAGGCAGATCGATGTGAAATTCAGAAGGATATAGAGACTCTTATAAGGTTAAGTAAGAATCTGAAAGATCAGCGGGAAGAATTCGCGAGGGAGAGAGACTTGTTTCTCACTGCAGCCGAGCAATGCAAGACTTGCCACAACTGCGGTGTTCCGATTAATAAATTCAACCTTCAGCCATTAGGAGCTACCTATGATTCTGAAGATGTTCTTTTGCCAAGCCTCACAGATGGCTTTTTAGAAGAGCATGTAAAAGGCCCAGTTGCAGGATCGGCTGATTCGGGTAGCAATGTAAAACGCTGGTTTCAAAGATGTGCTAATCTTTTCAAGGTTTCCCCAAAAAATAATAATTTTTCTCCCGCTGAAGATCAGACCGAAACTTCGTTCGTTCAACGACTTGATGGGGCTGCTTCCGAGAATGCTGATTACGAATCCCCACCTTCTGGCTCTTTTGAAGATCAGATAGTTCATGTAGACAGTGGAGATGTGGTGACAGGAGAACTCCACGGAGTAGATGATGCAGAAGCTTCATTTGATGGAGCCAATGGTTCCATGGATATCCCAAAGATCGACTCAGATAATGGCTCACAGAAGACTCCGATTGTTACGGATGACAGGAATAATGAATTGGAAGGATCTTCGATAAATGTGGAGAATGATTTACATCCGGAACCTTCCGAGCAGGGGCAGCGACGTCGGCCCGGCAGGAGAGCGAAATCTAAGGCCATCCACAGAACCCGCTCTGTGAAGTCCGTTGTTGAAGATGCAAAGGCCATTCTTGGAGATGTTTATGAAACAATGGTCGATGACGAACGGAGTAGCGATGCTAAAGTTTCCGAAAACATTCCAAACGAGAACTTTGATGCTTCTGGAAAAGCTGATCAAGCACCAATCCGTAGAGGGAGGAAAAGGCGTTCGGAAGAAATGGAACCCGAGGGCAACAAACCTCTTTCTACTCGGGGACGGCCTAAAAAGCAGCAGACTTCTTCGCGGCCAATGACCCCTGGAGAGAAGCGCTACAATCTGCGACGGTCTACCGTGTAAGCATCAAATATTCTTTGATAAGCTTTTCAGGCTTTTTTGAGTTGATCTTGATTGGCATCTATATCCATAATGAAGGGATGGAATGATTCTTATAGTTTTATAATTATCCCTTGTAACAATACGTTGGTCAAAAAACCACTGAATCATTATGCTTATTGTAATTATTTAAGCACTTTCTCTTGTAGGTTTGTCAATCATGAGGCAAAAAGAACTTTGACATGGAGCACTATTACTTGATACTTTTTTGGAAGATTTACATATATATCACTGAATTTTTACGTAATTACATATCTAGCAGCTAATCTTCAATTTGTACATACATGCGACCTTTGCCTATGCATGAAACAGTGTATTTTACTTCTTACAAGTTAAGAATGCTGGTATTTTGATGTGATATGAAAGATTCAGGCAGTATATTTGTCAAAAAGTAATTTTTCGGTTAGATATGTAAATAAATAAGATTTCATTACCATATTTTAGTTGGATTTACTATTTTTTTTTTTCCAGTGCAAATACTGCTGAGAGCCTTAAACTGTTACAAGAAAGCAATATTGTGGAGGATGGACAACCAGTTAGCAATAAGGTGGAGATTGACCAACCAGAAAGCAGTATTGAGGGTGGTAAATCAGTAAGAAATAAGTTCGAGGGCGGTCAACCTGGAAGCAATAAGGTGGAAAGTAGTCAACTAGTAAGCAATGAAGTGGAGGGTGGCGGTCATGGCGGTGGTGCTGCGGAAGGAAACTCGTTCCATGATCCGCAGCCGTCTCGTTCCTTCGATAACCCTGAAAATGTTCTGCATGAGTCTGCTGTTCCAAATGCTGTGGAAGTTCCGTCTGAAAAGAATTCTCAGGTATGGAATAATTATCTTTTGGCCTTGTTTTTTAGGAAGATTTACACGCATACCACTCAATTCCAACGCCTAAATTTCAATTTTTACGTGCATTACATTTTAGCTATGCATGAAAAGGTGTATTTCACTTGTTCAAAGTTGAAATGGTGGCATTTTTTATGTCATATGGATGATTTGGGTAGTATAAATGCATTTTTTAGGTGTTATATATGCAAATACATTGGAGTTGTGTGTTATGTATGTAAATGCCCCCATTTTAAAATGCCCACCTTTCCGAAGTTTTCTGATGTTATTATCGATTATCTCGTTTTTGGGAAATTTACATGCCAAGCACACAATTCTTATGTATTTACACATCTCACGCCTAAACTTTTATATACACACGCTTAGCATTTTAATGCTTTAAATTTATGCATGAAAAGATGTATTTTTTTTTTAAAAAAAAGTGATAATAATGCTATTTATGATGTATGTGATGTTAAAAATTAGAATGGCCATGTGTGTAAATATGAAAGTTTAGGTGGGAGATATGTAAATACATTTGAATAGTGCGTTATGTAAATGCCCCTTCTTTTTTTGAAGATTGTGCAGTACATTGTCGTTCTGTGGTGGAAATTTATTTCTATGATTGACGAATTTAACTACGTAAAGTTGTAATATTTCTGCATGATGTACAGATGCTTGTTTCAAAGTAGTTCCTTTCCTTTTAAGAAAGGGGAACTTCACATACATACCACACAATTCTTATGGATTTACATATCTAACACCTAAACATTCATATTTACAAACATACCAGTTAAATCTTTAACATCATGAAAAATATCACCATCACTACATTTTTAAAAATGAAATACCCATTTTCATGCATAGGTTTATGACAGCAAGGTTTTATAAGTGTAATAATCAAATTTTGGGTGTTAAATATGCAAATACTTAAGAAATGTGTGGTATGCATGTAAATTTCCCTATAAAAATGCCAAATTTGTATAGCAATGAAGAATGTACTAATAATACTAGAGTCAATAGAATAAAGGACATATGGACGTTCCTCCACAATAGAGAAAGTTTCACATTCACAACATACATAGGAATTGAGTGGGTATATATGTACATCTTACATTAGAAAAATGGAAAATTGTTCATTCTTTTCATATTTTTCATCACCAACTTGTGAGGCTTGAATGCAGCTTTCATTAGAACTTGTAACTCTTAATTTCCCAACCATATTTTTTATTTCAGCGTTGGAATCAAAATTAAATCATCTGTCCATATTTACCATTACCCCCCCTACCTTCTGACATAATTACACTTGTGTTATCAGAACAAAAGCCATGAAGTCAATGACAGCGGCATCATCGTCAAGTCAGTCAAGTTCATCGAGTGCATTCAAGACGAGAATGAGGCCAGTGGAGATGACAACATCATCGTCAAATCGACCGAGTTCGTCCAGCGGATCCCCGAAGATGGGGATGAAGCTGATGGCGATAACGATGTTTTCATCAAGTCAACCGAGTCTGGCGAGCGGATTGCTGAAGATGGCGACGAAGATGAA